TTGGAAAAAATGTGAACCTTTGAAATTTTAGGGGGATCGTACGACCTTTCCGAACGCCCCCCCCCCCCTGCATATACCCATGGGCCCTACAGCTTTAATTGAGTTTGATTTTAATTGATGTATTTATTTATTTCAACGAAATTGTACAACAGTAACAAACACAAAACAAGTCGTGGTGCGGCCAGATGCATCAATATACCTAAGTATTACAATAAATAATTTAGATATACAACCCCCCCCCCCACACCCACTTCCCCCCCCCACACCTACATTTCCTACATTCCCGGTACTACAAACATTTAAACGATTTGTTTAAATGAGTTAACTACATTTAGATAACTGATTTTACATTTTCATATTTCATAATTTTACCAATTGGACCTATAGATAGGCCTATTCGTCAAGTTTAGAGTGCACTCTAACAATTATTACAAACATAGGCCTACTGTGAAAAACAACTAAATTATTTGCTTTTATTTGCACACTGTTTTGATAACAGTATAATGATTTTCTGTTCTTAACACTTGAGTTTTAATTTATTTCCGACCTAAAAATGCAAATAATTCACGACGAACTGAATTTCACAACTGAACTGAACTTTACGAATAAGTTTACTTTCACGAACTGAGATTATTTTGTATTTCGATGGACGTCTTAAAACATGACATGAAATCGGACGGACCTGGACGGACTGACCGGGGGACAGACAAAAACAATCTTGATGACGTATGCAGTTGTGCGTGTGCGTATTTAAAAAAAAAAACAGCACACAACGCGTTACTTTGGTAACTGGTTGCCGCGAACATCAACGACGGCAGCATAGTGATTGGTGGTGGTGCGCTGGCGTTTCAAGATCGTTAACATTAAACGTGCTGAGTAATAAATATTAAAATAATAATACAATTTATGTATTAAATAATGTTGGATTAATGGACCTGGATGTAAATGATCTTGAGCCAAAGGGTGAGTTATTAGCTGTAGACAACAAAACGCACGCAACGCGTCACTGTGGTGATTGGTTGCCGCGAACATCAACAGCTGCAGTTAGTGTGCATGGTTGGTGCACTGGCGTTTTGAAGATCGTTAAAATTCAACGTGCTAATAAATATTAATATGATAATACAATTTATTGTATTAAATAATGATGCATTTAACGGACCTAGATGTTAATGATCTCGAGTAGATAACATCTGGACATTTTTTTTTTCCAGAAATTCACCATCGATTGTTAATAATAAATAATACTATTCTCTCCTAAGCCCATAATTATGGCAATGTATTTTCTTGGTGTCAATATATTATAGGCCCAGTCCCGACAGAAACGGAATTGGCTCGTCTGCTCTGTGATCGCACTTTTGTTGATTATTTCAACACTTTCCTATCATTACCGGTAAATATTATCTTGTTAATTTCATCATGAAATATTACTACATTATTATCAACATCCTCACCACCATCATTATCATAATCAAGTGATTGCGAGGATGATGATGATGATTATGATGATCAAACATTATTGTTTGCTGTGAAGAGATTAAACGGATTGCCACCATTCAGGGCATCCAGAATGGAAAAAGACATTGAAAGTTTCAGAAAAAATACAGTACATCATGTCAATGGATTTGTTATTTCGTGTTCAATGGGGAATATCACGAAGGGACACACCACCACCCAATCGGAGACAATGCCATCGATCTGGCTAGTCAACACATCAGCACACTAAATTGGGGACAATGTCATTGGATATCTTAACTTCCTTGTATCCTAGATATTTCCGAAAAGATATTAATTCACTCCCACTTCAAACAATGCTGCTGTTTTGACTTCAACACCCATCAATCTCGAATACTGCCTTTGTCTACTTTGTCAAACTCTCTAACGCCCAACCTCGTCTATTGTCACTGTCAACCAATAATATTTTTGCCTACCCTCCTCATCATAGTAATATTATTAGAGTGCTCTATATTAAAGAATTAGTTGCTTTAATCGGATTTGAATTCCAAAGTCTCAATGACCCAGTTGGTTAAGGCGTCTGCTTCGAGTGCAGAAGGTCGAAGGTTCGAATCCCGGTTGAGACATCCATGTTTCACACTCGCACTAGTATTT